GTGCCCAAACAACATATTAAAAACACGGTTTTGCAACATGGATTTTCAACAAAAAATTGCGTTCGCGCTCCAGCGAAGTCTTGATGAAACCATAGGTTTTCACTTGCTTCATAAAACTCTACCAAAACGGGCTTCGCGCGCGCATGTCGAAATCGTTCAAACACCCTTTCGTGCGTGATGTCAAACGAATTCATTATGCCAGAAACAGGATGAAGTGCACACGCGCGCGTCGTCGCGCGCGCATGCCGAATTCTTTCGAAAACCTAAGGTGGCGTAAGGAGTTTAAAACCGAGTGTCCCGAAACCATCTAAAAGCATAGGTATTCGCAACAACAGTTGTCAAAAAACGCCTGCGCTCACGCTCTTGCGAGTCCTTCAGATAACCATCGGCTTTTCAACACTTTCATGGAATTCGACCAAACGGGCCTCTCGCTTCGCATGCCGAAATCATTCGGACGCCCTTGCGCGCGTGCTGGGGGACACTGGGGGGGGGGGCACGATCCGTGTCAACAAATACCATGCGGGCCACTCTCGCGCGTCGGCCGCGCGCGCATGCCGAATTCCTTCCAAAACCTCCATCTCCGACGCGAGGACGCCGTCATCGTCGCCGGCGTGATCCGCATCGGCGCTGTCACTGGCCGTGCCGTCGTCGGTGTCAACATCGTCACCAGCATCGCTATTATCATTATCGTGTCTACCGTTGTCAACGTTACCATGATTCCGCGCCCGCCCAAGTCGCCGACTCGCACTGACGTGCCCGCTGGGATGTGCCCAGCAGTCAGCGCCACCGCGGCTGCGTCGGTCGCGCCAAATTAGTTGGCCGCTGCGCGCGCGAGCATGCGCGGGCTGGCAGGGTTGCAGAAATGCCCCAGCCAACACCAAGCACTCATTGCAATCGCCTCCGCATGGGTTCTTCAAAATAAGTTGCAGGTGGGTGGGAGGGATGATTGCGCGAGCAATGGAGTTGATAATTTCACTGTGAGCATTGGTAAATCCCGTGTTTTTTACAAACAAAAAAAAAACTATCGATGTTACCCTCCTCCCCCCTGGGATTGCCCGTGCCCCGTATTTCGTATCGCAATGTCCATACGATTCTGCCCCATCGAACGTCCGAAATATGATTTCGCACCATCCCAGGGGGTCGGTATCGACCCCCTCGCCATCTTTTGCAACAAATACCATGCTCGCGCACTCGTTTATCAAACATCTATCCGTTTTCGCGAGCGCCTTGCAAACAATGGGACGAAGTGCACACGCGCGCGCCATCGCGCGCGCATGCCGAAATCCTTCAACAACCGGAGGCCCCGCAGCGTTGCAACAAAAAACCATAAAACGCATAGTTTCGCAGCAACGATTTGAAAGAAAAGCTTGCGCGCGCTCTTGTCTTTTTGTGGGAAATCATAAGTGTTCCAATTTTTCATTAAGAACTACCAAACGGGCTTCGCGCGCGCATGTCAAAATCGTTCGGACACCCTTGCGCGCGTGGTGTCGCAATCGTATGTTGCAGAAAATGGGGCGAAGTGCGCAGCGCGCATGCCGCAATGAATCAAAAACCGTCGGTCCCCTGAGGATGTCCAAACCAAGCCCCCAACAATCTTATAAACATAGGATTCGAAACAACAGGTGTCAACAAAACCTGCGCTCCCGTCCTGGCGAATTCTCAAGAACACCATTGGTTTTCCAGCATGTTCATGGAACCTTGCCAAACGGGCCTCTCGCGCCGCATACCGAAATCCTTCGAACGCCCTTGCGCGCGTGCTTGGGGGGCAAGATCCGTATCATATGATACCATGCGGTTAGTCTCGCGCGTCGGCCGCTCGTGCATTTCGAACTCCTTCCAAAGCCTTCATCACCGACGCGAAGACGCCGTCATCGTCGTCGGCGTGATCAGAGTAGGCGCCGTCATTTGCCTTGCCGTCGTCGTCGACACCTTCGTCACCACCGCTATTCCCATAAACGTGTCTACCGTTGTCGGCGTCGCCATCACACCGCGCCCGCCCAAGTCACCGATTCGCATTGAAGTGCCCGCTGGGAAGTGCCAAGCGGTCAGCGCCACCGCGGCCGCGTCGGCCGCGCCAAATTAGTTGGCCGCTGCGCGCGCGCGAGCATGCGCGGGCTAGCAGGGTTGCAGCGATGCGCCAGCCAACAGTAAGCACTCATCACAATCGCCGCCGCATGGGTTCGGCAAGCCAAGTTGCGGATGGGTGGGTGGGACGATTGCGCGATCAGCGAAATTGACAGTTCACTGCGACAAAAAAATAATTGCACCACATACATGGCACCACTTAGCTTGCATCGCATCGATTGCACCGCAGAGTTTGCACCACTTGCGTTGCACCACCTAGATTGCACCACTTAGTTTGGGGCACCACGTAGGGGTTCCTTCGGACAGTCCGGGTGTACCCAACCGACCGACGGGGGGCACCGTGGTTTTCGAAAAATGCCCGTCTCTAGTACCTGTTGAAGCGGGCTCAGCCCTGCTTGGTCCCAATTCCAAAATTCGGGGCGTTCGGCGCGGGGGCATCGTTTCGGAAAAAGAGTCCCACATTTGCAAACCGCGGTTTGCGCGATTTGGTGAACATGGAAATTCAGATCGCGGGGGGCGCTCTTGCGCCATCTTCTAGACGTATTTCGGGATGTGTTTGATCGAAACCTCCGGAGACAATCAGATTGCGCCACATAGTTTTCACCACAAGAAATGCACCACATACATTGCACCACCCGGCTTGCATCACATAGATTGCGCCACAGAGCTTGCACCTTTCCACTGCACCACCTAGATTGCAACACGTAGCTTTGGCACCACGTATGGGGCCCCTTCGGACAGTCTGGGTGTTACCAACCGACCGACGGGGGGCACCGCGGTTAAAAAAACACATGCCCGTCCCTATTGCGTGTTGAAGCGGGCCCGAATCCTTCTGGTCCAAATTTTAAAATTCGGGGCGTTCGTCGCGGGGGGAACCGTTTTGGAAAAAAACGCCCACATTTGCAAGCCGCGGCTTGCGCGATTTGGTGAACATGGAAATTCGGGGCGCGGTGGGCGCTCTTGCGCCATCTTCTAGACGTTGTATTGGCTGTTGTTTTCGAAGACGCTCGCAGGGGACCACGAAGCGTGTGAGGGGTGTGCCGAAAGAGATGCGACGCCCACATGCGAACTGTGCTTCTGAGGCCGTTGGTGGAGCTCCCTAAGGGGCTACGAAACGTGCGAGTGGTGTGCCGAATGGGGTGCGACGCCTGCACGCGAACGGTGCCACTGGGGCCTTCGGTCGAGCGCACTATGTGGCCACGAAACATGTGAGGGGTGTGCCAAAAGGAGTGCGACGCCCACATGCGAACGGTGCCACGGGGGCCTTTGGTGGAGTTCTCTACAGTCGTGGTTGATGCGCAGGTCGACCCTGCCAAATCGAGGATACCTTTGTGTCCTGTGTTTCGCGACCCATGCCTTTACATTATTGTGGCAATGTGGTCCTCGGAAGGGTCTTGTGTCGTCCTCTCGCGTGTCATCTTCAATCAACCCCTGCTGTATGGGGCCACGAAACGCTTGAGTCTACCGAACAGAGGTGTGACGCCCACGTGCGAACGGTGCCACTGGGGCTTTCGGCCGAGCATGCTAAAGGGCACCGAAACGTGTGAGGGGTGCGCCGAAGGGGATGCGACGCCCACATGCGAACGCTGCCCCTGGGGCTTTCGTTGGAGCTCCCTGTGGGGCCACGAAGCGAGTGAGGGGTGTGCCGAAAGGGCGCGACACCGACATTCGAACGTTGCCGCTGGGGCCTTCAGTGGAGCTCCTGATGGGGCCACGAAACGTGTGAGGGGTGTGCCGAAAAGGGGCGCGACTCTCACATGCGAACGGTGCCCCTGGTGCCTTCGGTGGAGCTCCTGGTGGGGCCACGAAACGTGTGAGGTGTGTGCCGAAAGGGGGCGCGACTCTCACATGCGAACGGTGCCCCTGGTGCCTTCGGTGGAGCTCCTGGTGGGGCCACGAAACGTGTGAGGTGTGTGCCGAAAGGGGGCGCGACTCTCACATGCGAACGGTGCCCCTGGTGCCTTCGGTGGAGCTCCTGGTGGGGCCACGAAACGTGTGAGGTGTGTGCCGAAAGGGGGCGCGACTCTCACATGCGAACGGTGCCCCTGGTGCCTTCGGTGGAGCTCCTGGTGGGGCCACGAAACGTGTGAGGTGTGTGCCGAAAGGGGGCGCGACTCTCACATGCGAACGGTGCCACTCGGCGTTCGGTGTAGCTCCCTATGGGGCACCCAAACGTGTGATGGGTGTGCCGAAAGGGGCACGCGAAGGGCAGAGGCGGGGGTAGGAGGAGGCAACAGCAGCAGCAGCAGCAGCAGGAGGAGGAGGAGGAGGAGATGAAGGAGAGGAGAGGAGAGGACGCGGGGCGCTGTCTCTTCAAAACGAGGACCCAATACCACAGAATGATTGGGAAAAACTAGCACAGCGAAAAAACACGACCGTAGCCCTAGACCCCACTTGTTTGCTGCATTTTTTGAGCCGAGCCGATCTGTGCTGGTCTTTGAGCCCGAAGCCTGACGAAAACGCCCGGCGTGAAAAATTGCAGCACCCAAAAAAATGTATACAGTGTGCGCGTCTGCACCTTGGGGGCGACGCGCGCGCTGAGAAATCATCGAGTATCTGTTCGGCGGCAGGCGCTGTCTGACCATACTGCCTGGGTAACGATATGCTATAACACGTTTGTGCTACACAGTGGAGGGAGGCCCGACCACAAGAAATTTTCCGCCAGAAACCCAAGCTTGAGACCCCAGGACGTCCATCGATTTGTGGTGTGGAAACGTCACGCCTTCCACAGCAAAACCATCGAAACCCAAGAAACCCAGGGCACCCTGGAGGCAAGCAGGGTGTTTCTTGGCATGGGCCCCCACTGTATGTTCGGTCCAGACATGCGCCTCCAAGGGGGGCGCACAGTGCTAGTATGTCCCTCTGGGTCCCACACCAGCCCAGAGCTCAGGGGTGGAGCCCTGGGCGTCGCCCAGGCCGCCCTTGCCAGCGCCCCGCGCTGGACAGCGCCCTGCGCCTGCGCCCCAGCCCCGCGCGGTCGCTGAGGAGGGACGCCAGCGCCCAGGCGGGGGCGCGGCGGGTAGAACGGGGGGGGAGGGGCCAGCAAAGACGGGGGGTGAAACTTGGGCCTCCCAGCTGAGGTCCGAGCGGATGGGGTCGGAGGATCGCGCCGCAGCGCCGATGCATCGGCGCTGCGGCTCGATGTGGAGCCCGATCTTCTTCACGCGGACGTCGCCGCTGCATCGCCGATGCCGCCGATGCACTGCCGATGCATCGATGATGCATCGCCGATGCATCGGCAATGCGGCGAGTTCCTCCGACCCCCTCTAGTGATGACTACTGGGGGTGGATCTCGTGGCAGGGGCCATGATGTCTCCCAGATGTCATGCGCCGCCCCTTTTCGTTTTCTTGTTATGGCTGTTATTGGTATACGTAAGCATCATTAGTATTACGTGTATTATTATGTTTCGTAGTAGTATTATGGATGAATAATGTAATGTATGTATGTATGTATGTATGTATGTATGTATGTATGTATGTATGTATGTATGTAGGTAGGTAGGTAGGTAGGTAGGTAGGTAGGTAGGTAGGTAGGTAGGTAGGTATGTGTTTACATATGTATGGATGTATTGGTTCATTTATTTTTCTCCAAATACACTTGGCATATAGGAGTTCTAACTCAAACCCTACTAATTGGTCCGTTCCCCCCCTAATTCCGATGCCCCCCTCTAATTCCTATGGCTGTGCCCATGCCTATGCCTATGCCTCCCCCCTAACTCCTATGCCTACGCCTATGCAGTACAGTGGACTGGAGAGTGCGCGTGTGGAAAACATGATCGTCCTCATCGTCGTCATTATTACCATCATCACCCACTATCTATTTGGAGTCAACGTTATCTGGTATTACGATTGGCATTACTATTAGTTCCATTATTCTTCTTATCATTATTATTATTCTATTGATACGTCTCTTGGCGCCGCCCTCGGCCGCGCACATAGCCTCCGGCCATGATCTGCGAAGCCCCCCTCTCGGACTCCCCCCCTCTTGGACTGCCCGCGAGAGAGGGCGGGGCTTGCCAGGAGGGGCGGGGCCAGGGGCAACGCTGGGGTTAAGGAGGAATATTCAAAAACAGGGCTAAAGTTAAGGGTTAGGGTTAAGGTTTTAAGGTTAGGGTTAAGGGTCAGCGTTAAGGTTCAGAGTTGGGGTTAAGGATTAGGGTTAAGGGCCAGGGGCGTGTCCCTCTACAGGAGGAATATCAAAAAATCGAAACAGTAGTCTGGGACAATAATTTGCCGATGGTTTTGGCTTGCCTATACGACCACCCTTCGGGTGATCAGGAGTTTGTGGGGGGGGAGAGGGGGGGAACCAACATCTGACTCAATCGACCTCACTATCGATCTCACTCAACGGGATATCACGGGCCACCACGGGACACTTGTCGATCTCACTATCGATCTCACTATCGATCTCACTCAACGGGACACCACGGGACACCACGGGACACCGCGGGACACCGCGGGACACCTCTCGATCTCATTATCGGTCTCCTTATCGATCTCTATCGATCTCACTCCACGGGACACCGCAGGACACCACGGGACAACGGCGGGACACCACATCGCTCTCACTATCGATCTCACTCCACGGGACACCGCAGGACACCACGGGACACCTGTCGATCTCGCTATCGATCTCACATTCGATTTCATTTTTTGGGACATCACGGGACACCTCGGGGCACCACATCGATCTCATTATCGATCTCACTCAACGGGCCACCACGGGCCACCACGGGACACCGGTCGATCTCACTATATCCATCTCACTATCGACCTCACTATCGATCTCACTATCGATCTCACACAACGGGACACCACGGGACACCACGGGACACCGCGGGACACCGCGGGCCACTGCCGGACGGGCGGGACGGGGAGAATCATTTGTCTCGACTTCGCCTTGGCGACTGCGGGTTCATTCCTCTCGCGCGCCCACGCAGCTTCGCCTCGCGCGCACGCACGACACGAACGAAACGAAACGATTTCTCGGTTGGGGGTCTCCGTTCCACTGCGATATCACCCCCAACCTCCGATTGGTATTTTCCGTCCAGAATCCGCCGGCAGGAGGACATGCCCAGCCCAGCGCTAGGGGCGGCCAGGCTCATGGGGGATCGGCTTCGAGGCTCGAGATTCGCGGGCGGCTTCGCGGGTTCTCGGCGGCTTTCTCGAGCCTCCTCGGGGCGCTCTGCAGCCGCGCCTCGCCGCGAGCCTTCCGGGGCTGCCCGGATCGTCCCGAGTGGCCGCCGGAGAGCCGAGCTCGAACCCGGAAGCCAAGGGGGGCAGCGTCAGGGGGGCAGGGGTTCGGGGGGGGGGGGGGACGCATCGGCCCCCAATCGCCCATCAGTCGCCGCGAGGGGCCCGGTCGCCCACCCCGTCCAGGAGCGTGCGGATTCGCTATCGGGGGCCTATCGCCGATCTGTCGGCAATGCATCGCCGATTCCACGTCGATGGCTTCCTCCCTGAGCTGACCCCCCCTAACGTTGCCCCTCAGAGGATCAGGCGATCGCAAACATGGATCAGGGGGGCGTGGATTAGCGACGGGTCCCGTTTCCATGCGAAATCGCGGATTTCCGCCGCCGAACAAGGCGGCACCAGCCGCATTTTGGGGAGAGCACCTCCCCCGATCCATGGATCTGGCGACCGCGCGCCAAATAGGGGAAGAAGCAGCAGGCGAGAAGGGGGGAGGGAGGAGGACGAACTGTCGGACGGCTCTTTTGGGGGCCATCTGGCGGGCCTCCCGCTACTCGGTGCTCTCCTGTGGCGGCGAGGGTCGCCGCGTCCCGTGGCCCGAGCCGCGCACCTCCCAAACCAACCCACCGCGGTCGCTCTGTACGTCGAGCTTCTTCCTCCTCCTCCCTCCTCTTCCTCCTCCTCTTCCTCCTCCTCCTCCTCCTCCTTCTCCTCCTCCTCCTCCTCCTCCTCCTCCTCCCGCTCCAGGCCCGCCAGCGCCGGCGGGGCGCCGCTGGCAGGGGCTTTCCTGTGGGCGGCCTGCCCTCGGAGCACGCGCAGGCGCGAGGAGCGGGGGAGAAGGTCGGGGGGGGGAGGAGAGAGGTCAGGGAGAAGGGAAAAAGCAGGGAGGAGGAGGAGGAGGAGGAAGAGGAGGAAGAGGAGGAGGAGGAGGAGGAGGAGGGAGGAGGAGATGGAGGAGGAGGAGGAGGAGGAGGGAGGAGGAGAGGAGGAGGGGGAGGAGGAGGAGGAGCAGGAGGAGGAGGAGGAGGGGAAAAGTTCGGGGGGGGGGAGGAGGGAGACAGGGAGGAAGGAGGGAGCAGGGAGGAGAGGAGGAGGAGGAGGAGGAGGAGGAGGGAGGAGGAGGAGGGAGGAGGAGGAGAGAGGAGGAGGAGGAGGAGGAGGAGGAGGAGGAGGAGGAGGAGGAGGCGGAGGAGGCTGAGGAGGCTGAGCAGGCGGAGGAGGAGGAGGCGGAGGAGGAGGAGGAGGGGGAAGGAGGATGGACAATTGAGGGTTTGGGAGGGGGAGGCGGGAGGGAGCAGCACAGAGGACGGAGTGGATGGCATGACGGAAGGGACGGAAGGGTCGGGAGAAATGAAAGGGACAGGAGGGACGCGAGGGAAGGATAGAACGGGAGAGAGGGAAAGGGGGGTGGAGAGGGAATGAGAGGATCACTAGCGCGATTCCAATAGAAAACGACTTAGGGTTTTTCTGGCCGCGCCGTCGTCGGTTCACTTTCGGCAAAGGGGACTACCGGGTCGGGCGGCCGCGCCGTCGTCAGAATTCCCGACCCCTCTTTTTCGCTGCAATATCCCCGCAGTTCCCCAGGTGGAGGTCGTCAGTTTTTGTGACCCTCTCTTAGTGGTGAGGGAGGTGTTTCCGTCAGTTTTGCGAACACCCCCTTTCGGTTTTTTCCTGGTGAGTCCACGTCGTCGGTTCTGACGGTTCTTGGGTTTGATATTAATGATTCCCTCTGTGATGAGAGGGAGAGCAGGGAGCGGAGGGAGCGGAGTGTGGGGGAAGAGAGAGTGATAGAGAGAGTGAGAGAGAGAGAGAGAGAGAGCCAAGGGAGGAGAGGGAGGACAGAGAGGAACGGAGCAGAGGGCGGAGAGGGAAGGAGGGGAGGAAAGGAGAGGAGAAAAGGAGAGGAGGGGAGGAGAGCAGAGGAGAGCAATGGGGGAACACTGAGGGGAGGCGCGCCCAAGGAATGCCGAGCGTTCTTCCACGGACCCAGGCGGCGAGCGCGCACGCGAAAGTACCAGCGCGCGGGCACGCGCACTCGCACGCTCGCGAGGCGTTCCAGAAAGGGCCTCGCCTTCGAGGATGGAAGAACACTACAGCCACGACGCTCAAGCTCGCCCAGCGCAAAAAAATGGCGGGAGAGTCGGGCGCCGAGATGGACGGCGGAGGGTCGGCGGAAACCAACGGAGGTAAAACGAGGCCGCTTCCGCGGGCGGTATTCGTCGTTGGCGTCCATTCCTCGGCGCAAGGCGGCGGAAGGTCGGCGGAAGCCAGCGGAGGTAAAACGAGGCCGGTTCCGCGGGCGGAAGCTGGCGGAAGTAGAGCGTGCGCCCCCGAGGAGGTGGCAGCCTCTTTGGGTTCAGGCTAGCCGGAAGCGGCCGCGTGCACTCGCTTCCAGCAGAGGCAGCGCCGCACCCCGCTCCAGGTGAGCCAGTCGCCGCAGCGAGATCGCGAGGGCCTTCCCTCGGAGCTCGCCTCTGTCTCCGAGGGGGCGGCGGCAGGGCCCGGCGGGGCGCGAAGGTCACCCGCGCATCGCGGGGGGCGATGCGCGGGTTGTTGGAGGCGGAGGAGCAGAAGGAGGAGGAGGAGGAGGAGGAGGAGGAGGAGGAGGAGGAGGAGGAAGGAGAAGGAGGAGGAGGAGAGGAGGAGGAGGAGGAGAGGAGGAGGGAGGAGGAGGAGGAGAGGAGAGAGGAGGAGGAGGAGGAGGAGGAGGAGGAGGAGGAGGAGGAGGAGGAGGAGAGGAGGAGGAGGAGGAGGAGGAGGAGAGGAGGAGGAGGAGGAGGAGGAGGAGGAGGAGGAGGAGGAGGAGGAGGAGGAGGAGGAGGAGGAGAGGAGAGAGGAGGAGGAGGAGGAGGAGGAGGAGGAGGAGGAGGAGGAGGAGGAGGAGGAGGAGGAGGAGAGGAGGGAGGGAGGAGGAGGAGGAGGAGGAGGGAGGAGAGAGGAGGAGGAGGAGGAGGAGGAGGAGGAGGAGGAGGAGGAGGAGGAGGAGGAGGAGGAGGAGGAAGGAGGAGGAGCAGGAGGAGGAGGAGGAGGAGGAGGAGGAGGAGGAGGAGGAGGAGGAGGAGGAGGAGGAGGAGGTGAGGAGGAGGAGGAGGAGGAGGAGGAGGAGGAGGAGAGGAGCAGGAGGAGGAGGAGGTCCTGACGACGGGCTGGATGCCGTGCGCTTCGCACCCTCCGTGCTCGAGCGCGAGCGAGCGCGCCGGGTGAGCGGCACGGTAGGCGCCTCGGTTTTCGGGCCCCGCCTCTCTGGCCACGGGCAGTTGCCACTACTGCTGGGGCACCACGTCGACCCCTGGGACATAGCATGGCGCCAACATCGCAGAGCGGATTTCGTTCGGAAAACGATAGGACGGGCCCGGAGTGTCCTCGAGAATTTCGTTCCGGATTTCGAGGTGAATTTCGTGTGGATTTTTTTATGGCCAGGAATCAGAGGCCAGCAACATATGTACACGTACTCGGTTAGTTTCCCCTGGAGTGCGTGTCAACGCGGACGTTCGTGCAGGCAAGACCGCGGAGGGCGTACATGTACATATGTCGGTGCTCGCCCAGGAATGAAGACTAAAACAAAACCACGCGAAGTTCACTTCGTTTTCATTTGCTGTTTCTGGGTCTTTCATGGGCAGAAATCCATGCAAAAATCCGCTGCAGCACGTCTGCAAGGTCGGTACAATGAGACATAGCCACATGGTCATAGGGCTAAAAGCCAAGTAAGACCATTCTGGGCCGGGAGCCCCTAAAGACTTCAGGGCGACGATATATAGACAAAGCTGCCGGCTCGGCCGCGGTCCCCGCAGGTGGTCGCTGCGGATGCTTCGGCCGCCCCGGCGCCGCAGGCGGCCGCGGCGCCCACGGCGGCGGGTCGCGCGGTAGTATGTTTGATTGATGTTTAAGTTTGCAAATGGTTTCATACATATTGTTGTACATTGTTAAGATACAGTTTCCAAGAACGCATCCGAGCAGAGCTCTACAAGGAAAGTCTGCAGCAACAACAACACAAGCGAACGGGGCAGCATGGGGCCAGGGGCTTTGGCTCGGTGCGTCGCGCCGCCAGTTCTGGCCCACCATGCTTCGGCGCGGCACGCCAGCCACGTCGCGGCATCCGGGCGTCAGCGTCCCGAGCCGTTTCCCCGGCCTCCCGCCCCACGGAGCGGAGCGACACGCCACAGTCAGCCCGCATAGTAAGGAGGGGTGGCCTTCCAAAGGGGTACGCTTGAAACCCTGCCTCGTCCCATCCTTGGCCGCTTTCGTCGGCCGCGCCCCGCTCGAAGAGCTTCGACATGGGCGTCCAAGGCCCTCGCGTATCTCACCGAGCGCGTTCCACTACTCGCAAAGTGCCTACTCGCAAACGTCCGAGAAAACACATGTCTGCTTCGATGTCATTTATCGTAGATCCCCCGTGGCGGATCCAGGCCATGTGCGAGTAGTGGAACGCGCTCGTCCAGTGTCCGTATCGCGCATTCCTGTGATGCGGGCCGACCGCATCATCCGTTCGCGGGGCACGGCGCGTCGCCGGGATCCGTCGCCGCGAGACACGCGCAGCGCACCTTCCTGCGCCGAGCGCGCTCCACTGCTCGCAAACGTGCCTGCTCGCAAACGTCCGAGGTATACAGGTCTTCCTCTATTCCCCAGTCAGTGCTTGCACTGAAGGGGTCCTAGCAGAAGTTGAAAGATTGGGCGAAAGTTACCCGCCGATTTTGGTAGCAGGCTGGGTTCCCGGGTTCCAGGGTTCCAGGTTCCAGGTTCCCGGGTTCCCGGGCTCCCGGGTTCCCGGTCGATTTCCTCAGCGAAAACCATCCACTGATTGGTTTTTTTCATGTAATATATCGTAAATTCCCCGCGGCGGATCCAGGCAATTTGCGAGCAGTTGATTTGCGAGTAGTGGAACGCGCCTGTCCGGGTCCCTGGCCGCAGGGGTGGGAGGAACTGCTGCTCGGGGCGCTCCAGGGCTCTGCGCTCGAAGGCCGCAGGGGTTGGCGTCGCCTCCTCGGCAGAAGGCGGCGGACGGTCGGCGGAAGGCGGCGGAAGCAGAGTGGAAGCCCATGCCAAGAATCGGGGGTGGGCAGACCTCCTACCCTGACACGTCGATTAGCGAATTGGCCGTTTTCGGTTCGCGAGAGGGCGTCGTGGCCGTCATTTTTGCGGGTCCAGGTCCGTCGGTTTCGGTCCCAGGCCGTTTATCCACCGCCGAAAGAAACACCCTGCTTGCCTCCAGTGTGCCCTGAGTGTCTTGGGTTTCGATCGCTTTGCCATGGAAAGCGTGACGCTCCCATACAAAAAGTCAATGGACGTCCGGGGGCCTCAGGGGTGGGGCTCTTGCGGAAGGTCTCTTGTGGTCGAGCTCCAACTGTGGACCGAGGGCGCCTCCGCGGGCAGAAACCTGGGAGCGCTAAGCGGAGGGCGGCGGAAGCAAGACCAGCCCCGCCCCCCAAGAGATGACACCACGTTTTGGTCCAGGATCTCCGGAGGCGGCCACAGGAGGCAGGAGCATTTGGACGTCGGCGTGTTGTTCCGCCGCCTGGAGGTAGATGTATCGTTTGACTTCCCGTGTGGAGGCTCCCCGCCCACAGGGGCTTCTTCTTACGGGGCAGTCAGCACCTGGTCTGGAGTTGGGCGGTCGGGTAAATCAAGAGCCAAAGTTCGGATGTGGGTTGAGAGGTATTGTACCTGCTGTCTTCCCTCCTCCCTATCCTTCTCCTGTTCGTCGACAGACTTTGTTGCAGATTAGTTCGTACAGCTTTTGGCTGCGACTCACGTTGGAGGAGCGAGCTTGCTCAGATGTCACATTGAGAAACGCCAGATACGTAATGCTGTTACTGATTTTTCTTGCGGTGTCCTGACAGGGACGTAATTACTTCATCTTGCTGCAACATCTGTCAGGGTCAAAGTAGGTGGGTCAGACACTCCGTTGGCACAGCAGTTGCGGCCCAATGAGAGTGGTCGTGGGTCGCAAAGTCAACGCAAACAGTGCCAACACGTTATCCGTAGCCATATTGGCTCAAGCAATATCGGATCTACCTTCCAGCTCGAAGCCCTAACGGCTCCTCGTATTCTTCTGCACTCCGGAAGATACGTTTCGCACGAAACCTTCAGAGCGGTGCCAGAGGTTCCCGTCACCAGATCGAATCTCACCTGTAGACTCTGCACCCAGACATACACGGGGAAGCCATGGCAGAGGCAGAGGCAGCATTTGCGGGCCCGCGGCCCAGGCGGCAGAAGCAGAAGCCGATGCACGCGCAACGCTGATGCTTTCTTTCTCCTTGTCCTCCCCCCCTTCTCCTTCTCCTCGTCCTTCTTCCCCATGTCCTGGTGGCTTTTACCGGGCGCGCTGCACGGTTACAGCTGCGGCCGCTTAGGTTGCCACGGAGTTGCTCCCATCGCGGTCTTCGTCGCGCTATTGGGGTAGCCCTCCAGAGGGGCAGCGGACTTCTAGTCCCTTCTGCTGTGAGAAAAAAAGGCAGACGCCCAGCCAGCTGCCGGGCCAGCGGAGGCGGAGGCAGGTGCGCCGCCCAGAGGCCTGGCGGCCCGGGCAGAGAGAGGCCCAGCCCGCAGTCTCGGTGGCTGCCGCCGTTCGCCTGGGCAGGGCAGCAGTCTCCTCGCAGGCGGTGCTGCCAACTGCCGCCGCCACGCTGCCGCGGTGCTGTCTGGAAGGCCGCCGCTGTGTGTAGCACAGGAGACGGCGTCCGGTGTGCTGTGGATTGGTGAGGCTGCCACGCCTTGCTGAAACCAAAAAAAACATCTTCTACAAGTAGACGTGGTGGCTCTGTTTCAACCCCTGCCACTGCGGCGGCTGTGGTTTCGTCTCCCCCTCGGCAGCCCCGGTGTGCACGTCGCAGGAGGAGCACTGTGCTGTAGCGAGGCCTTCTGCCAGAGCGCGCCCTGGGACGAGGGTGGCATGGGCTTGTGCTTCGACATCTCCAAGAGGTGCTGTTTCGTGAGCCATTCTAGTTTCCACCTGGCGGCGGCCCGAACGATGGGGTACCTCACTTCGCTTGTTGCGGCGAGCATTGTGGCGGAGAATCAGGTGAGGACGTCATTCGAGAAAGACGCTCCATTGATGAAGGACACATTTGTCCTTTATTATTGCCTGTGCACGGGGTGTGGACTCACCACGCACTGCTCCGAGCCCTTCTGCAAGGCCAACAGGAAGTGCTGCTGCGTTCGTTCCGCATGCTGCACCGCCGACGCCTGCCCGTCGGATCGGGACTGCATCTACTCGCACAGCAAGCTCCTTTGCTGCATCATCGCGTGCGCGTGCCCCCGGTTAGGTGGGAAGCCACACGGTCTTCCAACATCGTCAGGGGAGGCATAACCACTCATCGCACCCCCCGCACAGGAGGCAATGGCGGCCTGAGCTGAACAGCAGAGTCTTCTGCATCACTACTGATTGCGGCGTGCAGCACTTGCCAGTCTGACTACCAAATCCCGAGCAGTCGGCTTCCTCGTCCTAGCTTCTCCATGATCAAGGCATGTGTCAAACAAGCAATGAGAAACAAACATTAACAAGAAAGCAGTGCCAACACGTTGTCTTGCCGAAGTTCCTCGGGCCCACTCTGTAGCTAGCCATTTCGGCTCAAGCCGCCCTGCCTCGAGGGCTGAGGCGGCGAACCCGTTGCCACGAAATGGCCTCCCGCGACTCCGTCCGGCAAGCGGCCGCTGCTTTGGGCGTGGCGGGCGTCGGAGCCGTCGCCGCCTGCGCGATCGTACATGGACACTATATTCGAACCCTGTGTCCCAAGATGCCCCCCAGACCCCCCGGAATTGATATTGATGGCGTGACGGCGGGGGGGGGCGTGAGTGGACAGAAATCTTCGAAGCCCAAAGCGCCGCTTTTATTGAGATCAACATTGACGTCGGGGGCGCGGGGGTGATTTAGAATCTCCCTCGAATGTGTAAGACTTCGAATATACTGCCCATCTACTGAATCATCAAGAAGCTGAGCTCCAGGGAGCACCTGCCCTCCGAGCCGAAGCTGCCGCTCGAGTTCGCCGCCGCCAACGGCCTGCACCTGCGGATGGTGCGCGCGAACGGCATCGACGTGGAGGTTGCGGAGGCCGGCAAGCCATCGGACCCGCTGGTGCTCCTGGTGCACGGCTGGCCGGAGGGCTGGGGCTCCTGGAGGCATCCCGAAGGAGAAATCGCGGCACAAAAACATAAACTTTTGGCGCTCCGCGCGGACGTCTTGGACCCGCGCTTGGCCCTTCCCCCCCTGGCGGCACCTGCGGCGCCGCCCCTGGCGCGCTCAGCGCGCCGGGGAGGGGGGCCCAGCGCAGATCCAAGAAATCCGCGCAGGGCGCCAAAAGTTGATGTTTATGCCGTCTTTTCTTCTTCTAGCATCAGATGACGTATTTGGCGAAACTTGGCTTCCACGTAGCAGCTCCGTCCATGCGCGGCTATGGCTTCACGTCATCGCCAGCGGATCCTGCAGAGTATGGTATCGAGACAATATGCGCCGACGCCGTGGACCTTGTGAAGGTCCTGGGGCACGACGTCGCGCATCTCGTGGGCCACGACTGGGGCGCCATCTGCTCGTGGCATTTTGCCCTGCTCCGGCCTGATGTGTTCAAGACGGTGTTCTGCATGTCGGTGCCCTTGGGTTGGAAGCTGGATGGTTCCATGGTCCCACGCTTGGTTCCTTCCGAGGTGCGCCCTACAGACGCTATGCGTAAGAAGTTTGGGCCCAACTTTTACTACATCCTCTACCACAATGAGGTCGACGGCAAGGGTGGCTGCGCATTCTCGGGCCCTGCGGATCGCGAGTACCTCGCCAAAGCCGGGGAGATGCACGACAGCATGTTCCGAAATAGGTTCAAGGAGGCGCGGGAGGCCAGATGGC